GTATGAAGTGCTACATTCCAAATCCGGCCCAGCCCAAATAGACAAATATATAGCTCGTACTAATCCTATTTCAAAATTTCCTCTCTTTCATAGAAGCAAATCTAGGGCTTCAACTCGATTCAATCACTTCAGGTTCAAATTCTAATCTCCCTAAAAATTATTCTTCTAAATGGATTTTCTTGTAAATTTCTTTGCGATTAGAGGAAGCATTAGCCTTCTAATTAATTGGTTTTTACATTTTTTTTCGTGTTTCTGTTTGATTGCGCAAATATTCTACGCTAAAGCTCATAGAATTCGACTTATGGGAAATGAAACATTCAATTAGATATATTTTTTTAGCGATAATCATAATTTTATTATTCAATTACATTATATCCGCACGATTTCATATTCAATTCAGAATAATAATCCCGTTCTAACATATTTTTGACGTAAATATAACATTTCCTGATGATATTCATAATTCATGTAATTGAGACTGACCCTCCTTAATTTAGTATTATTATCTTAATTGGATGTATAATAATAGAAAATTAGTGACCTCTTTTGGAGTCTACTCTTGCAGTGGTAAATTCTTGGTTGTATGCACGAGGTTTAATAATCTGGTTGTATTGAATGAAACTAGTCATTGTCATATATTCTAATGCATAAGCCATGGAAGGAAGAATAGATCTAAGGGCCCATTTGATTCTTATTACTGTAGAATGAGAATGAAAAATATAGTCGTTATTGGGTCTCACACAAGAGATAAGAAATTCAAAATTGATGGCTTGATGTGATGGATAACGGTCATATTTTTCATTTTTATGGATGAAAAATGAGAAACGAACGGGGGGCTAAAACTCTAAATTTAGCATATTAAAAAAAAAAAAACTATTCTCCACCATTTTCGACGTATATATAATTATGTTTATAGTTTATTTAACCAAGAAGGGACCATGAGATTTTGCACATAGAACTTTAGATGATTGAGGTGAAATTTTGTTAGATAGTATCATCCTAGGATTTGTAAGCGCCAAGTTTGAGAAATGTAGAGCCATAGAATGATCAAATTCTTGCATTTTCGAGCTATATGTAATAGTCTTTAGCTTGTTGCATCTGTCATATTTGTAAGAATTGTATTTGGAAATTCTTCCTAAAGCTCGTTTGGGCTTGGCTCTAACCAACTGGTCGGATGTATATTGTGCTTAAAAATAAACAATGTTATGTGGTTGACCATGAACCGCTCATTGCTGAACACTGATTCTCAAGGTTCAAATGCTTGTTTAATTTGCAGTCTTGAAGACTTAAACAGGAGGATTTGAGTTGTTCTTGTTAGATGGCTGGTCCTTTTTCAGGATATTATGGGCTTGCACCCAAGACCAAGAATGTTGTGGTTGCTGGAGGTTTGACAGCATTTGTCTTTGGGGTCTATTTCTACACTATGAGGGCTGTTGGTGGTACTGATGAACTTCAGGTAGCTATTGATAAGTTTGAAGAGCATAAACGTAGGAATGAGACTGAACCGAGCTTGGCACGCAAGGCGTAATAGTTATACTCACCACATATATATAACTATGCAATAATGATGGGTTGGTGAACCAACTTTTCCCCGTTTTGGCTAATGAATTTGTTTTGGACATGTATATTTTGTTGTATTTCGTTTGCTATTGTTAAGAGGTGCATTATAGGTTTGCAAGCTTAACCTTGAATTGAATTATAGTGTTTGGTAGGCTTCATCTTTTTAATTTACTTTGAACTGATAACTTGTTGCTTCGAATGTAATAACAAACAATTGAATTACCAAGAAACTTTCCAAGTTTTAAGCAAAAAAGCTGTTTGATGACTGTTAATTCATAGCTCTTTTTTCTTTATACTCATTTTCAACTACACATTCACACAATTTGTATGTAACTTTTTAACCACACATTTTTCAAAAATTCACTATTTTCCAAATAATGGCCATCAACATCAAGCTCTTTGTGATGCAACACAAGAAACCCAACCGTCACCATAAGAACAACAATATATGCAAATCAATCTCCCAAAACATTGATGCTAAAGCTACAAGAAATCTGTATCCCCCAAATACTCGGAAATATTCCATTTCTTGCAATGCATAAGATCAGCACAAGAATGAGAATTTGCATGTATATGATTATTTAAAAACCAATCGCAAAATATGATAGAAATCAATAAATTTGTGTAGTAAGATGGAGATATCAAAATCCAATGGATTAAGTTATTACATTGCAATAAAATCAGTTTGAACACAAGGAACAGCAACTGATTACTCTTTTTGAGTAAAATCATACGAATGATAACGTGACTTGAGTAAAGAGGAAGCACTGATGCAGGAAGCAGGGCTTTCAAGAGAGACTTCAATTATTTCAGATATCTTTAAACACAACGAACATATCACCATTGATGTAATCGTTATCAACCAAGCTGACCAAGAAATAATTTCTTTGCACCTGCATGACCATCAAACAACAGGAAAATATAGTGAGAAAATTAAAGTAGTCCCGAGAATGACAAATATGATAAAATTATAGGATAATATGAGAACTCTGACCTCTTCAAGTAATTTTGTGGATGGATCACCTTCTGGATAGAGCTTCGCCCATCCTCTTGACCACGTTTCAAATGCTTCATCTTTCCATACCACGAAGCTGGCAGGATCCACAATGGTTGGTTGTATAATCTCCTTTGCCGGAAAGACTCCCCATGTCACTGCATTCACATCGGTTTGGTTGACGTTGGAAAACCAGGTTCCGTCTTTATTGACAGCCATGTAGGTAAGGAACGGGAAAGATTTGCATTTCTCAACCAACGCATTCAACTTCTGTGGAGAACAGAAAAATTCCAAGTATGCCTTTTGATAAACGTATCCCCCAGGCACACCCCATCCTGCAAAATCAAAATTAAATGCAAAGAATAAGCAGGTGTTTTGAAATAACTCATTTATTGGGATCCTTGAATATTATTCATCACAAAAGTGTCCTTTCTTTTGTTGAGCATCAAGAGCATAATTGCTTTTATATTTGCAAATGCAAGCAAAGAGAGGGTTGGAGAGAGAACAAGGACTATCGTTCAACAAATTACCGTAAAAAAATAACAAATGGCATTTACAGAGGATTGTTTCACAACCACTTGTTTTGTAGATCACAAGTCACGTGTTATAAACGCGGTATAAGCAAATATAGTGAATGATATAAGAAAATAATAACAGGGATAGCATGGCCATCAGACACATTTTTAGGAAATGTGGAAGTTCCAATTGTAAATCGGATTTGAGGTACATATTAACCAGCATATAAGGTCACGGTCTAGAAAATGCAGTCCAAGTGGAATCATTATACTTCCATCAAGCTATTCTGGCTTTATATAACACATAAAATCCAGAACATTGCATTCAATATCTAGAATGACACAGCAAAAGTCAACAATAATATATTGTTAGGAGAGTATATCTCACAATTGATTTATATGTAGAAAACAAAAGAACAGAACAACCTCTAAGGTCATATGATTGAGAAGATTTGGAGAAAAAGAGGCAACCTGATTCATGTCTAACCTAGGTACTTGACGAAGTAGACCATTCTCCTTATCAATCAAGTACGCCACCATCTAAGCCAAATGGATATGGAGAGAAACGAAAGAGGATTCGCTTTATGCCTACCCTTTCCTTTCATATTCATGGTAGCAAATTTTGAGCGAGGGCAGAAGGAAAAGGTGCTAAAAGTCATGTCTTATGTATGGGGGGGAGTTAATCGAAACCATTCTTTTTTTGAATGAAGAAGCTGCCAAGAAACCTCAATTCTGTTCAAGTTTTCAGCAGCTTGACCGCCTCAGCTTTGCTCATCCTCAAGAATGCACCGATCATCTATGAATGATGTCGACCATAGAGGAAATCAATGATGGGAGTAGAATTTGATTAGTTTCTTTCTGGGGGAAGCGGTATAAGCTTAAAAATTGATAGCCCTCATATGCATCTTCCCCAATTTGACATGATCCAACGATAAGGAGTAGGCTTCGGAATTGGTATTTTAAGTTTCTTCTCTTCCACGAGTATTACCAGAAAATTGAACAGGAAAAGAAAACTCCATTTCACTCTCTTATCTTATCTAAACCAAATAATAGAAAATTAAACTAGCTTCTCATCACATTTTCTTTATTTTGCTAGTGAACTCTTCCATCTCTTCTAGCAATGCAAACAATGGGTGTGTTTTAATTTAGACCCCGAATCTTGTGCACTCCATTGCTTCACAGTTTTTTTTCATTAAAAACGTGCATCTTTAAAATTCATGCAGCCTTGAACCTAATTTAACTTATACAACGTGTTAATTAACTGCATACATTCAAAAGCTGATGACTTCATATATTGCAGGAATACATGCAAATACATAATATTTCCAAATGAACAAATGAACATAAATGAGAGAAAGGAAAAGACAGCATATTACCAACAGTTGGAGAATCAGACTTTGCACCATTAACTGCTGGTTGGCTGTTGATGGTGAGAAAACCTTTCAAGTTTATGTTACCGAGTTGTTCGTTAATGATCTTTGTCTCTGGCTGAAGCCCATCTAATTCGGACCAAGGACTACTTCTCAGTTTCCCAAGACAGAACTTCATAAATTTCTGATGAATGAAAAATTCCATAAGGACCAGCTTTCACGACCATTACATTTTTAAGAATAGATTCTAGACAGAAAACCATACCTCGTAAATATCTGTGACATTTTTCAAAGGAACAACCCATTCTTCATGAAGTTTCTTATTGCGTGATCGTGGTCGCATGAACTGTTGGGAAATTGAGGGTTGTGTCAGAAATTAATAAGAAATTTTACCTCTTAGAAGGGAAAAAAGAAGATTGAAAACATCAAGAAAATCAATTATGCGAACATGAAGAAAGGATAATATTTTGTGGAGAAATAGTAAATCTCGAGTTGTGTGAAGCTACATTTTGAGAAATCAGTAAAAGACGGTGAAAATAAAAGAATATGTTAACAGAGATTAAGAATTTGAAAGTTTATTTATCATTTGGCCAAGATTATTAAATAATTACTCAGGATTATAGGTTGCAATCTTTATACAGAAAATAAGGGTTTGGAAAAGTAATTGATGCTCAACTGGTGAAGTGATGGTCTTCCCACTTCACTTAGTGTCATTGGGTTGCATAACAGCCCATTTTTTGGATCTTAGAAATCCTTTGGTCCATTTTCTGAGTTGTCAGTCACTTGATTGATTTATACAAAAAGAGGCTTTAGCAGGATATCTTCAGATATTTGTAAGTGATTACATTTTCTTGAAGACCGATGAAATTATATTATTAATCAAAATATAGGAAAATAGTTGAACTTGGTGAATGGCCAAGATATCGTGTCATAGTGGTCTGATTTTATGGAGCAGCAGTCAATTAACTAAGTCCTCTGAGAGCTGTGCAGCGTCAGCGTGCCAGGGATGATTGGGGAGACATTTCTAGATTGCAAAGATTTAGGCTATTTGTAAAGATAGAATCCGCATACTACCCATTTCATGCTCTAAGTAAGCTTTTAATTTTCCATGGCATCAGACCAGCAAAAAAGCATAACCACTACAATCACAGGAGTGTGATAAACAATAGATTGTGCTTGCACAAAGACTACAGAGCAAAGAGCTAAGGTGCAATCAATTGTACTTGCCTGGTAATCAGTGAGTGCTCCATATGATGCATTTCGAGAATCTCCCCATCGGCCACTAGGGTATTGGTCCCAACCTATAGTCCGTGAGATGTAGCTTTTTGGACGATTAGCCCTACAATAACAGCAATAACGGATCATATGAGTACATATTGTCAGTAACTACACTACTATAAGGCATCTACTAGAAGAGCCAATTGCATTATATACCAGAATATAGGACGAACATCTTCCTTGACACGGAAAATATTTGTGGGACGTCTCCAAGGCAAGGACCTTGAAATTTTGGATTCCTCGATCAGCCCAAGATTCTGCATATAAAAGTCTACATAAGCTCATATAATATGAGCAGTCTATCAATGATACTTTCAGGTTGAAGCTGCACAGTTGATTAAACATAAACCAACCATCAATATTGCCAGTGCAGATTTTTCCATGTTTAACGTGTAAAGATGCAATGTTTTGATCCCACTAGCCAAAATCTTCTTGCACATTTCTGTTCCAAGGTGAATTCCATACGCCTTCACAGCTTCTTCATTGTCCTTGATGGGATCCAAAGCAGCTGTAATCTCATCAGGTATCTACAATATGTCATTAGAAAAGAATTAGGTTTACGCCTCAATGGCATAAGCACCTTAGAAATCCTTGAGGTTCCATATTTTCTCTAGTAAACAAAACATGTAAGAGAAAGAACACTATATGGAAAAACAGGAACTATCATGTCAGACCTATACAATAATCCAATTCTACAGTGATTATTAGATAAGAAGGTTATCCCTGTGCTTGAAGCATGACAAGAATACTTAAAATCAAATTAACATTATATTGAACAGGCAGAGATGATGGGTTGAAAGAAAGAAACTAGATGAGAAAACAGTAGAAGGTTTCAAAAGAGATTCTGAATTCGACCTTCAAAACTAGTAAATTTGATAAGATTGAGGTGGAAAGAGAATAAATTGATGAATTCGGCTGGAAATTCTACTAAAACCTACTAGTAAAATACAGAATCATTCTCCAGATGACTCTTCCAAAGCCTAGTCTCAACCTCCAATTCCCTTTGATTCAACTTCTAATAGATTGTGAGTCTGAATGAACATAACCATGTTAAGATGGTGAAAGAGCCATATAACTGAAGATGTGCTGGTTCTGTGATAAAATTGAACTGATCATAGGCAATCATTAAGAAATATGCTACCTTAACATAATTGTGATGGCAATGGATATGGATATGGGTATGGACTGTCTTTAAAATATCAGAAAGAACACAGATCAGCACAACTGAATCTAAATGTAGAGCAAAACTATCTGCCTGCCAAGTTTCCTTTTTTGTTTTAAAGATATTATGCCATATTTGGTAAAGATTCTTTAAAACTCATTGTTTCTCAAACTCATTTTCAACCACACATTCTCACGATAAAATATTTTTGCAGATGGACCTATAATTTTTCCCTACTTTTTAACAACGCATTCTTTGAAAAAAAAAAAAAAAACCATCTCTAAAAAAATCTATTCTTAAATAGTCAATATCAAACAAGCACTATATACATATATGAGAATCAACTATCTATAGTCTGTACAACGATAATTTCATCGCTTCTCAAAAGACAGCAATTTAACAGGGTGTATAGGCCAACACAATAATATGAAATTAGTGCAGTTGATATCTTGACAGAATATCTAGTTTTACCAAGCACCGTGCATACCTTAGTTTTGCAAAAACCAGTCATCCGAATGAAGCCCTTGTAATTGTTGATGGGCATAATCCCCGGAACAATGGGACAGGTAATTCCAATTTGACGACAGTCATTGACAAATTTAAGGAAAATATCGGTATCATAGAAGAGTTGGGTTACAATAACTTCGCCACCAGCATCAACCTGTAGTAGGAAACTCCATAAAAATGGGAATAAGAATTTCTAATCATAAATATTCACATTCTTTTCATTCAAAGATAATTACTAATATTTTGGGGAGAATGGAACAACCTTTTTCTTAAGATAAGCAAGTTCGTTCTCGTATGCCTCTTCCGTAGCCACTTGAATCACATCAGGATGTCCCTCTGAGAATGAAAAAAATGATGCATTATAAACAAAGCCCACGAGGGTATTTGAATTCTTAGAGCATAATAATATTGAATTGTACTTATATATTCCCTCCGTCCCATAAAAATAGTCCAATGTTTCTTTTTTGTCTATCCCAAATTATAGTCTTAGTTCTTATATGATAGTAGTAATATATTAGTTTCATATTATGCCCCAGTTTAATGTGCTTTGCTATCACAAATATAAAATACTACATTATTCAATTGTAGTTCAAACAATAAATTAAAAACCAAGAAACCATTTCATCTTCCATGACATTTATTCATTTGTATTTGTATTGGATGACTTTGGTACCTTGATTCTTGCATTAAACAATGACTAGTACCGAAAATAGCTTAATCACCTTGAATATTGCATGCATAATTTAATTACCTTGAATATTGGTTGCAGTAATGCAGGGGTATGCTAGAAAAAAGATAGTAAAATTTATTATTTTAACTATATTAACTAAATATTTTTAATCTGAAAAAAGAAATAGGACTATCTTTATGGAACGGGGGAGTATAATACAGATGTAGTTCATAAACAAAGAATTAACAACATATAAACAGCTATTGTGAAATTGAACATAAACATTATTGACACTGGGCAATTTGTATCATTGATCAAGCTACATCTCAACTAAGAATCATGAAACAATCACAGCAAAAAATGAACAAGATAAGAAAATAATATCGCCTGAGATTCTTTCGTAGAGAGAAAATGAGTGTGTAACCCAACCTGGATAACCAGCAACAGTGATCCCAAAGTAATCACCATACTGGGCACGGATATGCTTCACCTGCAAACAAACAGACAATCAATCAAACACATAATTAGCCACTTCCCAACCAGATACAGGTAAAGCAAAAAGGCAAAATTTCGCATAAAAATGTACTAAACAATGAAGTAGAAACAAAATGAGCTTAAAACCAATCAGATCTACAGATTCAGTAGACAATAGATGTGAAAATGAGACACTTACGAGGTCGAGAGCGCAGGCGAACCCACCCTCAACCTTGACGAACTTGTCCTGGCCGTGAGGGGGGTCACCGCGTAGAGCAAGGACATTCTGTATCCCATTCGACTTGATAGTAGATAGCGCGTGGTCAATCTTCTCAACAGGCATGTTTGTGCAGGTAAGATGCATCATAGTCTCCACACACACCATGTTCTGCATCCTGTTAGAAATCTCAAGCGTCAGGTCCGCCGTGGAACCACCAGCTCCCCATGTTATATCGCAGAACGACGGGTTGTGCACCACCATCCGCTCCATTCTCTCGAAGAGATTGTCGACGCCATCCTCCGTCTTGGGCGGGAAAAACTCGAAGGAAAACACGACCCTGTTCGCATCATTAGCGGCCGCATCCCGGATCTTCTCTATAACCTTCATTTTCTACAATTACTACTAGAAATCCAATCAGAATTTCAACTAATGGCTCAGTAATGTGATCTGGGTAGGCTCAGGCTGCCGACAAATCTCACAAATTACTGAGAATTCAATGAGATCTACAATTTGTGGAAGAATTTGAGCGGGGTAGGGAATATATACGGAAATGAGCCAACTAATCTACCAACTTTTTTGCTAGGCTCCACCCGTTGCTTTGTTATCTTGCATTTAGCAATCGGATTGGTAATAGTAGAAGAGGAGGGTGTGGGTAGAGAAGAGTAGATCCATTTTACTGGGCCCCACGTTTCCCCAACTACCCCCGAGGAATTGCGTTTTTCACTACTCGCCCACGCCAACTTCCGATTTATCGTCCTTGCTATTTTTAGAAAGGGTGAAGCCTATAATTTCACCATTTTTCTACTATTTTAAAAAAAATGAAAACGAACTGTTTCGCGCGTTTTTTGCTCGCTAACAATTAAAAGGGATTCAGACGATTGTGTAAGGGACAAACCTCTTGGAACAAAGTCCAAAAAAGGGGTGTTTATCAAATATGAAGATTATAGTAGAGGCACGAACAAGATGCCTCCAAGGGGCGCAATCACACTAGTACAAGAGAGTAGAAGTAATTAAGAAGTTAATCTAAGAAAAGTAAATTTCATGTTCTC